CCCACATGTCTACATCACTATGTGGGAAGATTTGCATAACGCCGCCCAAATGTTCACGCAAAGAAAGAAGGCGTAACTTTTATTCTCGCTGTAGTATTGTTGTTGCCGCCGCCATGTCGTGAAGGCACTGTGTGATTCATTGTGAAAGCGAAACTACTTTGTTTGGCCTTCCAAAAGAGGACGATATCTGCTTTGTGATGCCTGGAGCTGATCCGTGCTGGTTGCTGAGAAAGTACATCAACTTTGCGCTGTAGATCGCCAGATCGGCTTTCACCTGGATCTGGCTCCATCTTTAGGTTATTTTAAATGAAACTTGAAATTGCATTTACTTGAATTAGCGTTTTATTCAGCAGGTGCACAATGTAACACTTTTTGACTTTCTCAGTTTGTGTAAATCCACATGGTGTTCATAGTATAATTTTTTTATCCACAGTAATTTTACACTTGTCTAGTACAAATACGTTGCTTTGTTTCATAATTACAGTGTATAAATTTTTCTTTATTTACCCTCAAAAAAATGGAAGTGAAATGTGACAACATGCCCCGTAGGTAGGGTATATTGTAACATCTGAGGGGCACGTTGTAACATGACCATATGACAGCTTAAAATATTATCTGATCTAATGAAAAAAAATGTACAAGACAAACTAAAATATTTTGTCAATAAAATAAAATTACTAACTTTTTAAAATAAAATAATGACTTTTTTAAGAATTAAAAATAATTTGATTTTGGAGTTTGACAATGAACAAATTGCAACCATGCTTGGGATGGCCCATATAAATGAGCAAAAATTATTTACATTTCTTGAAATAATACACTATGACTTTTCACTTTACACCTACCTCTGACTAGGCGTAAGATTTAGTCTCAGACGTAGCACTACGCCGAGATGGTGCAACGGGTATAAATTCTACGCACGACTTAAAGCGCCATTTACGTCCAGCCTAGTCTTACAACCGGGTGTACGTCCAGCTGGTGCAACCGGCCCCTGAGCATTAAACATTGACTGTCAGTTTTTATTCACCTATTCCTCGTAGTTTCTCATTAAAATACATTAACGTAAATAGTGTAAATTACATCGCTAATGTCATAGAATAGCACATTGTAATGCAGTGTTACAACGTGCCCCATCTGCGCAACTGGAATTTAAAATTGATTAGTGTCTTCTGCTAGTTAGCGAAGCTTTAAAACGCTATCTAAACTGATAAATTACAGATTGGAGATTAAAATAATAGTAGATTTGCCTCATTTTAAATGAATACTAAAAACTGAGATGAAAAATTTACTTAAGCCAGAAATGTACTTTTACTATGGTAAAATAAATGTTCAGTGATATCTTTAAAAGATTTTCTAATTTTGGCAGTTTTTTTCTCTATATAGTGTTGATATGGCAACTAGTAAATACCATACATTTTGTTATCCTAGCATGTGTGGAAATATTCAAACCATGTGTGTTACAACTAACCCCACGTTACTTTGTGCCCCGCGCTCCCCTACAGCACATTGGTCAACATTGAGTTTTTCTACATTTTTCTTATTTAACAGAAAAATGGCTTTAAAATGATCTTTTGGGGGTATTATCACTAGGGTTGGGTATCGTTAGAAATTTTCCGATTCCGGTTCCAGTTTTGCCTAACGATTCCGGTTCCGATTCCGGTTCCGTTTAAATGAACTATTATTATTTTATTTACTATTTTACCTTAATTGAATGTAGTGTTGCTGGAAGGTAGTAAGTAATGTTGAGTAATGCATGTGCTTCAAAGTTGATGTTTTTTACACTATCAATAACATTTTGCTTTTCAAGCAGGAATAAGCTGGTTGGCCAAATAGTCCCTTGAGGGCTAAGACACTTGTTCATTTCCCTAAATTAATGAAATATTATACTTATAACCATGTATACACACACTGCATAAAGCCCCTATTTTACAAATAATAATGCAGTCAGGAGATGGTGTGATGCAATGAGTGGTTTCCACATTTTTAAACATTTAAAATGCATGAAAATATTTTCTATCACTTTGTTTATCACTCTTGAAATGACCTGTACACTAATATTATTATTATATATATATATTTTTTTTTTTAAAGGTGAATTAATGTGAACAAAACAAAAGCATCTACAATTGATTAAT